TTTCTGCACAGATGTCTTGACAATAACGTGTTGCCGAAGAGTGTGAGATACACTTAACATTGTTGAATGCTCCCTACTGATTACTTCGTACATTGGGTTTCAGTTATGCGGTTTTTGTCAATAAAGGAACAAGTAATTTTCAAGCGGCCCGTTAACTAGAAGAAAGATTAAGTGTTATATGCTACAAAAATGCGGATATTTTTCCTGGAGCACTACACGACATGATATAGGCCAAAGGTTTAAAGACCTTCACTGTACTATCAGCCTATGTCCTCTTGGTGAGTTCAACAATTTTGCAAAATAGAATCAGCCTATTCTAGGCAGATGGTATTACCGGCAAACACAAGGGGAGCTAGAAGGGCTATTTATAGCTCATTAGCCGTCATCATCCCGTCATCCAACCCCATGTGGCGCTCCACCCGAGGCTCAAACCCGCGACCTTTTGATCAGTAATCTAACGTGCTAATCACTGAGCCAAGAGCTCGTTATCTTGGCGGTTTGGATCTGGTATATAGACATTCGTCGATTAGCGTTCACCGATCGATAACGGAACTCACTCGTGCCGAGCCTCGGGTTGAGCACCACTTGGGTTTGGGTATGAGTAGCTGGTGACGGCTAGTAAACCAGAAATGGAAATTTTGGTGTCCCTTGTCTCTGTCGGCAATGCTCATCCGCCTACACTACTAGCAGCTTTGTGGCAGCTTTTGGGGTTCAAGAGTGAACTTCACGGTCGAGCGGAACGAGTGAGTTCCGTTAGCGGTCGATGAAAGCAAATCAGCACATTCATCCTTGTAATCTTAACGTGCAGACGAAAAGAATTGCGCTGACTCTTGGTTTAAATTAAATGCGAGATAATCTTATCTAGCGAGAAGAATGCCCTTTTTAAGAATATTTTAAATAAAGCCTCTTAAAGGTAGAGATTGGAAGTGCTCATTAAGCTGAAACAACTGACGTCTAGTTCACGGTATATAGATCGACTCAAATTTGCATAAATTTTATAGTGATTTAAAACACAAATTGGATATATTTCGTGGTCGAACCATGCATGAATTCGGTTCATCGTAGAATCTTGCGAAAGATGGAGCAAGGCAAAATATAATAACATCACTCTTTCATGCAGTGCATACGATAATAAACGCGCATTCTGGCATGGTTTTTTAATGTTTTATCCATAAGATGGAACTGGAGTTCAGAATTTTGTGACTGCTCATTATTCACTGCAAAGGATCCATTTGAAAGTTGTGTTCGTTTACACCGTTTTTCAATGAGTTTGACCTAATTCAAACACAAAAGCTCAACAACGCATAGCAACTGGAATAGCAGATTAACCTAGTTCTATTAAGCAAAATGGTTTTCTTATGGTAAACCAGCCTCCCCAATCTTAGGAAGAGCAATTCAGTTGTTATGAAGTTGGATAGGTCCGCAAAAGTGTAAATCAGAGCATAGGAAATTTTAGCACGCGTCAATCCTTGTTATTGACGAGATCATAGTGCACCCCATAGCATTCCTGTTGAAGGGACAGTGACTTAGAAATTAATTTCTGTGCTTGGTATAGGTCAGTTTATTCAAGGTCTACAGCCATAGACCGACATTTGATGAAGGTATTTGCGCCCAACTCCATCAGCCGCCACTGGATAACCGTGCAGTTTACAAATACTGGCAACGGAAAGATGGCAGTATGACTTTCGGTCTATGCATATAAACCTTGAATAAACTGGTCTTGCACCGATGCCTTGCTAACTATATCATGCCAAACTGGTCTATGCGCAGCACAAAAGTTCATTTGTAAGGAAATTATAAGAAGCTGAACTTTCGAAATCGTTTTATCAACGAGAAAGCAAAAAAGGCAAAGCTGGCGGAACCATTGATGAGCCGGACCCGCCTCAGCTGTGTCAGGCAGCAGCAGAATACCAAAGATATATTTTTCAGGACATTTAGCTAGTAGCTGTGTTGCCAGTAGGGTAAATTATAGTGATAGTAGACTTACACATTGTCTACCTCATTCTGTAGTTTCTTGTCCCCCACGCCACGGTATGAAGACTGAGTCAGGGAAACCGGAGGTGGCTCAAACCACAGTGACTGTCAGAACTAAACAGTCGGACTACGCAGGTCTTCTACTCCTGTCCCGCAAAAGATGAATCAAAACAAGAACTTTTATGTTGATTTTAGTGCATCCCATATTCACGTAGTGCTTGTACATGACGCTTATGATTATAAGTAGACAATACAAGCGAATATGCTACTGCTCTCCGCTTATGTCTCCGATGCTGAATCTGCGACGGATCTCAACGTCAGGCGAATAAGATTATTTTCCCAGCGACTGAGTCGTTCTCTTCTCTAGAAGTGGACACTTGGCTGGATCGGCAATTTAATCGTTTTAGTCGGCTGAAGTTTTTTCTTTTTTTGTGGCTATGAAAAATGTAAGCGAAGCAGTACCAGCTAGTCCGTCAGGCTATTACTTTTTTGGGAATTTTTTAAGTACTGTGATCTGAAATTTCGTTAACGGTGCCGTGCAAATTAAATAACTATTGGTCAGCTTCTTGAGAAACCTTAACAGTGTATACCGGTCAGATAAGTTTGCATTAGTATGATATTCCAAGGTGGGCATCAACTGGAACCCTCAAAGATTCTATGCTTTTAGGCCTTAATTACTGGCAGCTGGTTGGAAGATGGGAAGATGGCAGATTACAGGGTCCTTGATCGTTATTCGACATAAGCCTAAAGGATTTTCAGAAATGTAATCGCAGGTTACTGAATATTGTCAACAGTGCTTAACAATGTTTGACAAGGCATCACGTAACACAAGCCAGTCAGAAAATAGCAACGAAAACTGGAAGCGACCTTTTAGTTCCTTTGAATGTTTTATCAAACAGAAAATCTGGCTTCGAGTGGGAGGCCAAGCGTAACCCTTCTCTTATAATAGGCGCCGCCGCAAGATTGTGGTAGCGAATACCTGCCGTTGAATTGAATCAGGGGCATTAAGATTAGGCATAAAGTTAGGCACTTCCAAACACCGTTTATGTAAAAGACTTCTTTAGGCGTGTAAACCAACGCAACGGAAAAATGCACACAAGAAAACTTTCCGAAATCTCACATTACGACCAGGTGGACTCCAAAGTCGGGGCTCTGTCTAAAATAGTCGGCCATGTGATATTACTGCCTTGGGATGACGCCTATGACAAGCCAAAGCTAATATAAAATTAGAGATTTTTGGCAATAGCAAGAAGTGACAACTGCTTGTCACAAATGACAGAGGACAGGTAACGAGCCAACAGTGAGACACGTTGGGACTGCTTCCATCTGTTGCGCTTACAGCTAGCAGTGGATACAAAGAGCCACTTTATTCTGGGTTAGGTGCAAAGGTCATGACCTACTAAATTATTTGGGTGCTGTCGTTGTTTGAAATTGAAGAAAGGGTACCGGCTGCAATGAAATGTTGTTTAGCTTTTTCATCACGAAGGAGCTTTTCAAAGCCCGTCAGGGTTAAATCCTCTCCCCCCTACCCCCTCCCGCCGTGGATCGCAGTATGGAAACATTGTTGGAAGTCACATAAAACACTTTTAATTGAACATTTTCTGTTTATGTCAATATTTTGTGCATTGTAGATACATTTGCGAGCAAGGTGGCCGCCATTGGCGACCCCTATGCCGACTCCTCGATCGGCAACGTGACCGGCAGCAATGCGGTGAACGTGTTTCTGGGCATTGGTGTGGCCTGGACAATCGCGGCCATTGTGCATGCCGTACGAGGCACAAAGTTTTTCGTTCTGAAGGGCAGTCTCGGCTTCTCCGTGACCATCTTCTGCATATTTGCCGTGTGTGCCATCATCGTGTTGCTGCTGCGCAGACGGAAACACGTAGGCGGCGAACTGGGTGGCCCACAATGCGTCAAATTGGCCTCCGCTCTTTTCTTCTTCCTGCTCTGGGCTGTCTACGTCCTTTTGACCTCAATGGAGAATTACTGTCTCATCGCCGGCTTTTAAACAAACCAGTCATTTCGGCTGAACAGTGACGGCGTTACTGACACCAAAACAAAAACTGTGCGGCTAGCAGCACCGCCGCTGCTGCCATCTCTCACAAGTTTTTAATTAGCAGCTCCCCTCCCCGCCCCCACTTCCCGCCCAGCTGCCAGATCATTGTAGAGTCAATTATGATCAATCTGGCTATGGAGACTTTATTCCGAAAAGGCCATCTGTAGGCCCAGGCGATTATAACTTATCGTCACCCCCTGCTCTCTCGCCCTTTCCTTGATTTTGCAAGTCTAGGTCTGCCTTAGGAGGATTTCCTCTAGTTTATATGTGTCATGTTGTTTTGCTCACTTCACAATTGTCAGGTGATCTCAAAACTACTTACTCAAGCTGAAGGCGGGTCTGAATTATTTTGGCCGACTGACTTGGCACACTCATCTAGCGCGCCGAACGCAATCCCTCCTAGCTGTTGTTTTCCGTTTTCCGTCGACTCCTGCCTGATGAAGCAGAGACGTGATTATATCCCCTCAACACTAATTAAACTGCCCCCCTCCCCTCCCTGCCCTTTGGGCCTACGTTTCCAGCCAACATGAATCGAACATTTTTTATGTCGTCGACGTTCAGCGCCAAAAATCTCACTAATGATGAGATCGGCTTGCGCTTTGACGAGATTCTTCGTTATTAGCGCATGCCAATTTATTCCAGCAATATATGTAAACTCACAGCTGCACCGCAATAATTATTTTCACATTGAATTTTAAGTCCATTTGATGAATCCCTAGTGTCTGTCTCAGAGGACTCAGAGTAGCCTCGAGGTATGGAAACCCATCCGACCCGAAGCTTTAATTTAGGAGAGGAGTTAGGAGTCGAAAAAATCAGCCAGTTATAGAGCTTTATAACATAAATGTTGTTTACATACGAAGTGAATGATGATGATGTTCCATTCTTTCCACTCGACTGCTGGAATATACTCCTTTACCTGATTAATAATATCCTCTGGTTTTTGCTGTTGAAGAATTAGCAGAGAACACTTGATAATCTGTTTTTCATCCTTTACCCATAGGTTCCTTACTTAGTAATGGTTGGGCGTTCACTGAATTTCTTATCATCATGGTTCGATCTATTCATTTACTTAATTCCGCACATTAACTCGTTCCCACTCGTTGATGAACGTTCACCGCTATGTAACGGAACTCACTCGTCCCGCTCTCTCTTGGGTCTCGTTCTCGGGCCCTGCCAGCAACCTTATAGTGGCTAGTAATCCAGACAGATAGCATTGCCGACAAACATAAGGCATCATATCATGCCTACCCATCCATTTTTGAAAAAACCTGGCGTGTCGCGTGTGCACAGGTCGTGTGTGTAGCACGCGTAGAGTGAGCGCAAAGCTCTGCCCGGCACAATGGCTAATCTTGGAATCAGTTCCTAGACCGGTTGGGACAATCGACTGATGTACAGAAGACAGGAGAGAGAGTGGGGTCGGCCCGGTTAAATCCACCCTGCGGCGCTTTAGCGCATGTTTCATTATTCTGAGTGGTCGAGAATATGCGAGACCCAGGTAACTGAATAGAGGATGGTAAAACCTTCTCTGGGACCAGTGGTTTATTTGTCCGACGTTTCAAACTCTCCGCAAGCTCATTGTCAAGGAATGAAAAAATCTACAGTTCATTGGGTATTTAATTCTGTTCTGTTGGGAGTGAACTTACCCTTGACCTCTGCCCTCGATCTGCTCGCGCAACGCGAGGTAGGCATCTGGAAGATCGATATGTCAATTAATTGAATCTGCGTGTGGATGCCATTCTTCCTACAGCAGGCGTGATGTTCGGTCATCTGACTGACCCGTTGTTTGCACGCGTTCGAAGTCGAAACTGTGGCCTGGTGTGGATGCGTGGGCGGCTACCAGTGAAAGCTTGTCCTTCCA